AAACACCACCACTCTTCAGCTAAGGAACCCTGGTGGTGTAATTGTTCGTGCTCAGCTGCTAACTGAAAGGGTAGGGGCTCCAACCCACCCAGCAATTCTGCGGGAGAAAGAGGTGGCAGTCGGCCTCCACAAAGAGTACAGTCTATTGCAAGCTGCGGCCGTCTAGAAGCAAGGATGGGTCTCTCCTTGTCCAGAGCAAAGAAGAACGAAGAAAACCAAAGATGCATGGAAACAATCAGTCCTTGTGACTGGCACACCATGCGATCCTCAGCCTATACAACTATGAGACCAGAACTAGATGGTGCCCGGCTACCACTGTCAACCACTCCCAGGGGGATCTCTGTAGGAGATCCTGGATAGAGAGGGAGAACAATGTGGAACAAAACTCAGAATCAATTGCGGGGGGAAAAAAAAAAGGGAGACCAGATTTGCTGGTCTGATAGAGCCTGGTAGAACCACTGAGACTATGGCCTCTAGCTGCCCTCCAGGTCTGGAATTGAACCCACACCTGTGGCTTCTAGCCAAATAAAAGACAGGCATAAGAGTTGAACATGTACCTGAGGTAGATACATCCCTTGGAGAAAACAATCATGGGAAAAAGAAGGGCTGTGTGTGCACAGGGTGACAGCTCAGGGGGCAGGAGTGCAAGGAGGGATGGACACAGGGAAGAGGTAACTATTGGGAGGAAATGGGAGGGGAGCTGTTGGATTGGGGTAAACTGTCAATGTCATCAACAAAGTGTATGGGAACTGCTGTATGGAAAGTGAATTTGCTCTGTAAACTTTCACCCAAATCACAAAAAAAAAAGGCAATTGTCTTTAAAAAAAAAAAGAGTACAGTCTAGGAAACCCTGCAGGGCAGTTCTACTCTGTCCTCTAGGAGATTGTAAGTCTGAATCCACTCCTAGCCAATGCTTTTGGTTTTGGCTTTATTTCTATAAAGATCGACAGCCTTAGTGACCCTATTGGGCAGTTCCACTCTGTCCCGCGGGCTGGCCATGAGTCCAAATGGATTCATGGCACCTAATAACGGACAACCACATGAGGCAGCCTCAGCGAGTGGAGGACAGACTGACTGGAGCGAGTGTGGAGGGAGCCAGGGTGAGGAGGGCAGAGGGGTAACACATGTTATAAAGTATTACTATTTACCAGCATTCAGGAGACAGCCGAGCCCTCACTGTCCGCATGTTAGTTCAATGTATCTACTCTGCTCCCTCCTGTCCAACCCCGAGCAAGGCTACAAGGCGGCCAGGCACAGCTCGGAGACGTAGGCATCGTCCCAGAGGCTTCTTGTAGCTCAACGGCACTCGAGCCCCTCCGATTCCACTCCACTCCACTCCACGTACAAGGTTAGCAGCCTCTGAGACTGACTGTCCCCACCCGACCCACTGTCCAGTGAAAACAAACTGTGGGACTCTAAAGTGTAAAACACAAATGGGGGGCTGTATACACATCTGCTTTAGCTGTGGCTACCAGAATGACTCATTCTAAACTGCAGTTCTTACAAAGCGTAAGTCTAGTTACTAACCACAAGACAAAGCACCATCCATGCATACGCATATCACTCACTACACATCATGGAATTAACCAACCATCAGTCAAATTTCCTGACAGTAACATATCAGAGAAAACCATGTGGGAATCCCCAGGGCAGGTGGGCTGTGTCGTGGCTCCGGCAGGATGCAGGCCGGGGGGGTCTTCAGCAGACTTTGGTAAAGATGTAAATTTTGAGAATCTCCATCAACTCCACTAAACAGGACACCAGAAAGTAGCCATTAATAGTTGTTGTTGTTATGTTGTTATGTGCCGTCGAGTCAGACCCGACTCATAGCGACCCCTCCTTGGGTTTCTGAGGCAGTATCACTATGGAAGTAGATTGCCCCATCTTCCTTCCGAGGAGTGGCTAGTGGGTTTGAACCGCCAGCCTTCTGGTTAGCAGTCAAGTGCCTTAGGCACTACGCTACCAGCAGTACATTATGTACAAAAATAAAAAGATAAGGAACTGCATGTCAATCACAGGAAGAAAGGAAGACGGGATATGCATCTTTGGAGTCGGCCATGACCCTCAGGGAGAACTGGCCTCCACAGCTGCTGGGGCACCATGGCCCAAGCGTGTCACTTCCCCACCACACGCCCTCAGCCTGCTGCTGGCCAGCTCCAGCACGGCGGGCCGCGTGGCCTGGAGGCCTGCACTCACCATCCCCAGAATCGACCGGCCGCCTGTACCTGCCCCAATGGACTAAGTCCCCCCAGGCACCTGGGAAACCCACCTGCTGAAGCTGGCCTCTCAAATGGAGTTGTTTTATCTGAATTCATTCCAGTGTTTAAAAATTGGAAGATTTCACATTAAAAAAAAAAATTTTCTGGGCAAGAGAAGAGAGTTGGAGACACAATGGGAGAGAAAGACGGAGCCCAGGTCCAGCCGCCCCTCCAACTCACCATGTGTACCTCCCCCACCCACCCACCCACCCACCGATCTCGTCCTCCAGGAAACCTACCAGAGACACTGAGTCAAAGGTCAGCCGTCACCGATCGTGGTCCAGAGCCTGCTTCACTCATGTGTCACCTGCCACTCTGCCACGTCTGAGTTTGCAGCCTTGTCCTAAAGGGCCTGCTGAGAAGGCCCCTTGAGGGTCTGACCGGAAGACAGGCCTCGGGGACTCTCAGACGTCACACTCTCGCCAACTTAACTGACCCAGGCTGCCACTAGTCTTTAACACAACTCGCCAGCATGGGATTCAGCGCCCCCTTCCCTGGCCCTTTCCTACATAGCAATCTCCCGACTTCCTCAGACTCGCAGAACTTTTCTGTCCCTTACTGGGGAGTGTTTACTGTTCACAAATTAACACTGGAATTAAAAGGTCAAAATATATCTGTTAATCAGGTTTGCACAGTTTGACCATAGCTTTAAGCAGCACCTAACCAAACCAAACCCACTGCCATCAAGCCGATTTCAACTCCTAGTGACCCCCACTGGGGTAGCAGACTGCCCAGTCTTCCTTCCATGGAGTGGCTGGTGGGTGTGAACCGCCAGCCTTCTGGTTAGCAGGCAAATGCCTTAGGCACTACACTACCAGAGCCCCCTAGGGCAGCACAGAGAACCACAATTTAAAAAAAAAAAAAAACCTGTCCTGCAAATGGAATGAATAAAATTATTAACCTGAGTTGTTTTAAAATAAATTTCTTTTCTCTTATATTCACGACAATCACAAGGTTTGGAATAATTAACTAGTGATGAAGATGCTCAAGTTTTTGTTGTTGTTTGTTGTTGTTGTTGTTGTTGTTGTGTGCCCAAGTCAATTCCAGTTCATCGCAACCCGACAGGAGAGAGTAGAAGTGCCCTGTAGGGTCTCATAGGCTGCACTCTTTATGGAAGCAGATCACGGGGTCGTTCTCCCTCGGAGCTGCTGGAAGGATCTGAACCATCAACCTGTCAGTTAGCAGCCAAACACATAGCTGTTGTGACACCAGAACGCCCTAAAGATATCCGTGAGACAGACTGCACACAATCTCTCCAATGACCGTTAATTTCATCTTTAAGCTACTTTTGGGTGAAACACAACATCCCAACCTTTTAAAAATCAGCCAAGTCAGTAAGTGAAGCATGGGTTACTAGTGACCGACTAGCTAGACTCACCCTGAGTGGAATTCTACACGGGTCCAACATCACACACTAAAGACAGTCATCTTCTGTAAACACACACATAAACCTAGAGCAAATCACATCTCAGCTTCCTCTTTTGACACCACTGAAATAACAAGGGTAGCCTTCAAAGAGAAAAACACTTACAAGAGGACACATCGTTGTTATTGTTGTTGTTGTTGTTGTATACCCGCTGAGTCAGACCAACTCATAGCAACCCCTCCTTGGGTTTCCGAGGTGGTATCACTAGGGAAGTAGATTGCCCAACCTTCCTTCCGAGGAGTGGCTAGTGGGTTTGAACTGCCAACCTTCTAGTTAGCAGCCAAGTGCCTTAGGCGCTACGCCACCAGAGCTCCTTCAAGGAGAAAAACACTTGCAAAAGGACACGTTACAAGTGTGCATTGATGTGATGGCCTCACACTTTTGCATGAGGATCAGGCTGACATGGTCAATGAAACACACGTTGACACATTAACACAACAGGCTTTCTTATTTTGTATCAGCTGCTTGTAAGCCCCCACTCCAGCACCGGCGGGACCCCTAAAGCCTGAACCCAATCCCAATCCACCATACCCTAACTCCACCGTTGTAGAAGTCTGTCTCTAAGTTACACCAACATGAAAACACACGAAAGGTGGAAAGTTTGGGTTCCAGATAAATTGCTCAGAAGAACTCAGTGTAACTTTAAGGTAACTTTCCATCAACATGTTACTAACTGAACATTGTCCCCGTCATCCTGTTTCCTAGCATCCTGCTCAGATGAGACTGCACTCAACTTAAAACCAAGAACACCCACTGCCATTGAGTCAATTCCAACTCACAGCGACTCTAGGGGACAGAGTGGAACTGCCCCACAGGGCTGCCGAGGCTGTCAGTCTATAGGGAAGCAGATGGCCTCATCTTTCTCCTGCAGAGACGCTGGTGGGTTCCAACCGCTGACCTCCTGGTTAGCGGCCGAACGCTTTAACCACTGCCCCACCAAAGAAAAACGTAGACGCAGCACATGGGTGCAAGTATTACTTTATACCCCAAGTCACCTACCCCCCAAGTCGGAACAACACCAAGTACACCCAAGAGCGTGCAATACTCGCAAAGCACCACGTCCTGATGTTTCACCTCTAGGGCCTGAATTGGAACTCGAATAGAACTCGAATAAACGGCATTAGCGCTACTCAGTGAATAACTGCTCAGTCTCCCGCCTTCAGGCAGACACTGGAGTCCGGGATGCTCTCGTGTTTTCAGCGACCTGCAACGTGCTGGGGGATAGGGCACGGCGCTTCCCCAAGGGCACGCTCCCAGCCCTGAACTTGCCTCGCTGGAAGAACGCCGAGACGCAGGGCCCGTGAGCCTGCACTTACCCGGTCCTTCATCCTCCAGCTCTGGGCCAAGGACTTGGAGCCCTCGATCTTCTCACAGTGCCTCTTCTTCATGAACGCCAACGGCAGGTTCCAGTCCGTCAGGTCGGCCTCGTCTTCCTCCCCGAGTCCCAGGAGAGGCGACTGCAGCATCTCGGACTCCATCAGCGGGGCGGGCGGCGGGGGTGTCCTTGGCAGCAGGCGCTCGAGAACCTCCAGCCTCGAAGGCTAGTGTGCACCCGGGCCGGTGAAGGAAGTCACGGGCCAAGTCTGAGGTCGGTATCTCGAGCCCCGCGCGGGAAGTCGAGGAGGCGGGGAGCGAGATGCAGCAGCCGCGGAGCTCGGCGCAAACCCCGAGCCGCCGGCGGCGTCTGGGGCAGGACGTTCGAGGCGCCGCTGCGAGCGGAGCAGTCAAAAGCGTGAGCGACCTCGGGCCTCCCGATGACCCTGCTCTCGGCCTCCAACGCCTCCGATGCGCGCTCTTGCTGCTGGTTCGCCGACCGGGCTGAGGTCTCCGGCCGAGGGGAACAGGTTCGGGGCGCCGCGGGTCTCCTCCAGCCACTCTCAGCCCTGCGGGTCCCGCACTCGCCTGAGCTGCTGCAACCAGAGCCAGGATCGGCCCATGGTGCTCGCCCGCGGCCGGTTCCTCAACCCCGGGTCCGCGCGGCCTGGCTGGCCCTGGCCCTTGAACCCGTGGTTCTCCCCTGCCTGGGAACGAGTCCTGAGAAGCCGGCGGCCCGGTCCCGCGGAGAAAAGGAGTAATGTGGGCTTATCAGGTTTGGGGAGTTTTGCCCTCTGGAAAGCTGCTACAGTGAAACTCCTCTCATCAGCACATCAAGGAGGACGCCATATTGCCAAGACCCAGAATGCAGCGCGATCTACGGTGTGACTAACAGACCAAACTTACTCAGTTATCGCTGAGGTTCTCCGGACGCGGCAAGGGAAGAGAGCCCCCGCCCCGTTACCTCGGTTACCACTATTCAGCCTCCCAAGGTTCACCGCCTGTCATTCAATAGACACCTGATGGTAAAGTCAATCCCAGAAACGACACCAAGCTAATTTAATTATTTTTTTTCATTTATTATTACAAGTGGAACTACACGCTTCTGAAATTAAAGGAATCCAACGTCTTCCAGGTTTGATTTTGAAAAAGCATCAAAAGCTTCAGAAAGAACCATCAATAATAACTTCATGCGCGTTGAATTCTCCACAATACTGAACACATTCTGTTTTTTTTCAGAGAAAACTGAGTAATTTCGTCACCTCCCATTTTTTATTGTGTTCGTCTTATTTTCTGAGCAGCTTATTCTCACTTTAATGCAGCTTCCTTTGCAACGCTGCTGGCTACATAGATCCCTGTGCGTGGAGGCAAGCCTTCTGCGTTCCTTGATTTTCCAAATTCGGTTCAGTAAGCGTTGCTTTATTTACAAGCTGCGAAACCGTGTAGGGTACAGCAGGGAGTATAAAACTAAAGGCAGCAGGCAGGCAGTCCCTGCCTTCAGTAGCTTAGTGTCTAGTGAGACACACATTGCACCATGGGGTTAAGCAGGGCAGGAGGCAGCCTGGCTCAGCCCAAGGAGGCCTCATCTTCCTCTCTGCATCTGGACTTTGGAACCAGTCACATGTGGATTTGAATCTGGGCTGCATCACCTTCCATCTGCATGATTTTGATCCGTTTCTTTAATAGCCGAATGTTTGTCTTCTCCATTATAAAACTGGGATAAATTACTCACTTTGAAAGACAAAATTCACTCATAAAGGCGCCTACCGTCTAGTGAGTGCTCAAATATTAGCAATGATCACTCTGTGGTGTTGTCATCGTCAAAACCAAAAGCCAAACCCACTGCCATCAAGTTGATTATGACTCACAGCAACCCCCGTTGGGTTTCTAAGTGGGTAAATCTTTACAGAAGTAGATTGCCCTTCTTCCTGGAGCGGCTCCTGGGTTTGAACCACCAACCTTCTGGTTAGCAGTCAAAGGCCTTTAGGCTGCACCACCAGAGCTCCTCGTTGTTGTTGTTAGGTGCTGTCAAGTCTGTTCCAACTCATAGTGACCCCATGCACAACAGAACAAAACACTGCCAGTCCTGCGTCCGCCTCGGCCATTGCTACACTGGAGCCCGTCGTTGCACCACTGCGTCAACCCACCTGTGGAGGGCCTCCCCCTTTCACTGACCCTCTGCTTTATGAAGCATGACGTCCTTCTCCAGGCCTGGTCCCTTCTGACAACACAACCAAAGCACATGGGACAAAGTCTGGTCATTCTTGTGTTTAAGGAGCATCCCGCTGCACCCCTCATTCTGAGCTAGAGTGAAATCTACACTCCTACATGCCTTATTTCATCCAAAACCTCAGGTTTGGCTCTTGAAGATACCCTGTTTCTCAGAGTGTCTTCCAAAGGCATTGACACAATGTGACAGTCCACATAAGAATCCTGATGAGACTTTGCGTCCCTTTCACAGACGCACACATGAGGGTGAAGAGTGTCATCCCAGATTTTCTCCCCCCACCCCACCCCCCGCCGGCTCACAGCAAATACTTAATAAAAGTTGTCGGATTAAATTATTACTGTTGCAGATACCCATTCAATTACTACATTGCACTGAGTCCAATTCTCCCATTAAAACTCAGGGCAACTTCACCAAAACACAGAAGGGGGCTAAAGCCTTCCTAAAGGCATCAAAGCCACCTGCCCTGCCCTGTCACAGGGTGGGTAGGCCCCACTCCCCCATCCACCCCTGGGCTGCAGATAACTCCGCTGCAGGCTCAAGTGTCCGGGTTGAACCTGTTCATTCCTGAGTCGCTCTGGGGCCTGGGCAGGCTGGATGAATCTCTGAGACTCGGCTTCCTTCCTGAAAAATGCATGAGCTAGGCTGATCTCATCGCAGCTTGCCTGCTGGTCTGAGGAAAAGCACTAGATGAGCCCAAGGTGTCCAAACCTGGCAGGTTCTCAGGGCCACCTGGGAAACTACTGTCAAATAAAGCTCCCGGGGTCCCACCCTGCATCTACTGAGTTGGGGGAAAGAGCAGAGCTGGGCATAGGAGCTGTAACAATAACCCTGTTGATAGCTTCGAACCACCCCAATTTGGTGACACTAGGCTATTTGATCCCAGTTGTCGGTTGACTTGTGTCTTCCAAAAAGATACATTGAGTCCTGCCCCCAGGTTCCCTGTCATATGATCTTACTTGGAAATAGGGCCTTTGGAGATGGTAGCAAGTCAAGAAATCATACTCAACCAGGATGGGCTGTCGTCCAATGTGACTGGTGTCCCCATAAGAAAGGAAGAGACACAGAACAGACACACAGAGGATGTGGGCACGTGACAACACAGAGATGGGAGAGAGGCGTGTGCAAACCAGGAGCACCAAGGATGGCAAGCAGCCCCCAAAGGCCAGGAAGCAGCGTGAAACAGATCCCCCCCAGAGCCTTCAACAGGAGCCAAGCTGTGGCCTTCCGGCCCCCAGAAATGTGGGATAAGAGCTTCTGTTGTTTTCAGCCCCCCAATTTGTAGTGCAGCACCTAGGACATGCATACACTCCCTGAGGTCCTCTCCAATGATTCCATTCTGGGCACACGGTGAGTCCTGAGTAAATATTTGTACAAAATGAATGGAAATGATGAAATAATTATCCATGGATCGAATGTGGAGGGCAAAACGTAAATGTGGTACCAGAACCAAGAGGCCACTCGGGGTCCAGGTCCTGGACTGAGGCTCAGGAACTGTGCCTTCTAGCCCCAGAGCAGCACTAATTCCTACAGACATCGGCAAAGTGTCTGCCCTTCTCTGCCCTCAGCTGCCACTTGGTGCCATGGGGAAGACATAGAAGGTGACCTCGAAGGAGCCCTTGGGTTCAAAACTGTGATTCAGCCCAGCCTCCAGCTGACAGGCTCAAGAAGGGCTTGAATCATTTTCTAGCATGACATTTAAAAGAACTCTCACCTCAGTGTGTCATAAATGATTCTATTCAAGTCCCAGACAATCACTCCAGGTTTCTGGAAGGCAGTGAGCGGTGATGACTAATGGCAGACTGGGGATTCAAGGGCTGACACTTCTCACCTGGGTGATCCCATTACCACTGCGAGAGATCACCCAGCCACAGGGGCCTGCATTTCCGATTTCCAATGGCCCCAGTTAGTCATCAGCAAGGCATCTCATGCTTCCCACAAAGAAATTGAGTAGTTCAATCTTGAAAACAAGTTTCACGAGTCTAAAAAAAAGCACAAAGCTTTTTTTCTGATCCAAGCTATGAAAATGAGGGAGGGGTGTTGATGACAGGTTGATTCTGAGTCACGGAAGAAACAAGACTTGGGTACAGAGGTGTCAAAGGTGGGGTGAAACCATCTGCTGGTGGCAGACAGCAGGCTACAGATAGATGGGAGGGAGGGGGGCTTCTAGTCCCAGCTCCAAACCCAAACAGCAGAATAACCCTCCTGCCTGTGCAGATAGGCAGAACCCCGGCTACAATGCGAAGGTAGACCAGAAGACTCCTTCCAGCCCCACCGCCTGGACACCGCGATGCTACGCCATGAAAGGCCATAGACATAGCAATGTGAACAGCAGAACAATCTCAAATACCAATCCCTGTGTGTTGTTGCTGTTGTTGTTGTTGTTATGTGCCGTCGAGTCAAACCCGACTCATAGCGACCCCTCCTTGGGTTTCCGAGGCAGTATCACTACGCAAGTAGGATTGCCCAACCTTCCTTCCAAGGAGTGGCTGGTAGGTTTGAACCGCCAGCCCTCTGGTGAGCAGGCAAGTGTCTTAGCCACTATGCTACCAGAACTCCCTTAGGGGTCAAATACTGTGGGGGTCAGGGATCATCACTACGGAGAGATATAAACAGCTGGCAGGTAGGGGGTCTGAATAAACGTGGGGGTCGGGGAGCAGCACGTCAGTGAGGAGGAACCACGGAGACTGGGTTCCCAGGCTCAGGCGGGTCCGCCCCAGCACCTCACCTTTTCTCAAAGCAGGGCCTTGCAGCGCCAGCTCCCATTGGCCAGCAGGCCAGTGCTCTCCCTTCTCCAATGTTGCACTTTCTCCATTCAGTCAATCAAGGGCGGAGGATGTGTTTTGTCATCAAGAACCAGGAGTGAGACTGGAGGTCAGGCAACCCGAGAGGAGAGCCTGTGCTTTGCTGAGCCACCAGTTTGCACTCAGGGAGGCC